AGTTGTTTCTGCAGTTTCTGGAGTGGTTCTCGTGGTGTGATCCGGTCCGTATGGGCGGTCGTCTGTGGGTGCTGTCGTCGGTTGCTCTTGGTGTTCACCGGTTGTGGGAAGGGCTTGATTAGCTTTATTTTGTTTTTTGGTGTGTTTTGTGGATAGTGTTGTGAGTGTTGTTTGTGGTGTGTGGTTGTGTTTGTGTTTTATCTGCTTTTCTCCCGTTGGGAGTGTGGTTAGTGTTGCTTGTTTGAGGTTTTTCTTGTGTGGCGTTAGTGTTGTTTGTGTGCATTAGTGTTTTTTTCTCCTCTTTAGGAGTGTGAATTCTCCTGGCGGGAGTGTGTATCGATGTTTGGATATAATTTTTTTTTGATTTGTTTGGATTTTTGGTTTGGTTTAGTTAATTTTAAAAAGGTGGTAGGGTTAGTTGTTAGTGAGTATATTAAAATAATATTTAAAATATAAGAATTAAAGTTGATTTGATATAAAAGTATGAGAGAGCTGATTTGAAGTGATGGTTAGTTAAATTATGTGAGTGGATGAATAGTCAATTAAGGTTGATGTGATGTGTATAAATGATTATTGATATTATTTAATTATAGTAAAATATTGATGATTGTTGGGTTGAGTTAAAGTTGAGTTAAAAAAATGATTGAGTTAAAAGTAACTGGATTTTTTGGGATAGTTTTGTATCCAAGTATACTCTTAGTTTTTGGGTATATTGTAGTGTTGTGATTTACGCTACCTTCTGTGTTAAGACCTCCCTCATTTCGATTAGTGAATCGGTTGTATTTTTGTGTTTTTTAATGAAGTCTATCGTTTGAAAAAAAAAATTAGAAACCTGAAAAAAATTAGAAAGCCCTAATTTGGAGAAGAGGAGGAATAATGCACAATCTTCTTGAGAAAGTGACTGCTGGTGCTATAAATATCAAATTCGGTCCAACTATTATGTTAATAACTTCTTATCAAATTTAAAAATAATAATTTTTTATTATTCTCTAGCATTAACTTTATGATTACGAATTAAACTTTTATAGTAATATTTTATATCAATTGCCAAAACTATAATAAAATTAGTTATATATTCTTATATAAATAATCAAACATATTTTTTATCAGATGTTGAAAACTACACTTGTATTTTGGTTTTATAATGTGTTTTATCTATGATGTGTTACTTTTTTAATTTTAACCGGCCGGGTAAATATAGTTTTTGTAAATAACTGTTCATGTCATGAAATTTAATTTGTTAAGAGTAAATTTTTTTCTAAAATTGTCATGTTATTTAATTTATTATATTTTCTTAGAAGGTCATCTTCTTGGATGATAATTTAAGTGTAAAGATTTAGAAAATATTTCAGAAACATTTTTATCAATGTTAGATTGAATTACACATCTTCACCGTATGCAGTGACTAACATCTCATTTTATTTAATAAATATATGTAGTTATAATTAAATATTCAAATTTAGTTTCAATTTTATTGAACAAGTGTATGTTATTAAAATTAAATTCTCAAATTTAATATTGATAAAATAGGAAAATATAATAAGTAAATATCATATTTAGATAAATTTTTAATCTACCAAATATAAAAAAATGATTAGGTTGAGAGATGTGGCTAACTTTTTAATCTACCAAATATAAAAAAAATGATTAGGTTGATGCTGCGACGGTGTGTTTATGCTTTGCAACCAACTTTTTAGCTCTTCCTGTTATGTGTCAGACGATGGAAATCTTTTGGCAGCACTTCCAATTCCAATTTCAAGTGTGTAACTTTACTTTCAATAATTTTATTTTTATTATAATAAAGAGCTAATTCGATACAAATATTTTTGAATTTTGTAGTATTTGTTAACATGGATAATGACTAAATTGTTATACATAAATAAATAGACCATTTTCATAAATTAAGAGAGAAAAAAATAATATATTTTTTATTCATGATAAATTACTTTAAATTTGTTCCATGTTTATTGCGTGAATCTCATTTACAAACATATATGGTAAATATGACAGATTAATTTTAAAAACTATAAGTTTGTGAGACGCGTTAATGTTAACTGCAAAGAATTATGTAGATTGTTGACAAATTGTGAAATTATATAAACATAAACAATATCAACTATAGCCCGTTCCTCACAAATTACCACAACTTGCCTCTTTTCGGAACTTGTATAAATAAGAATCAACACAAGGCTTGGAGACCGCAAGATGATTCTTCGAGCAACATTCGACTTTAAATATGCATCTATTCGGGGCCGAAAATATTCTTCTTTATTGCTTCAATGTCCATCGCCAGTTCTTTTCTGCTCGACTGCAACAACATAATAACAGTCATCAAGTGGTTATTAACAAACACTTAAAATTCAGAACAGAAATCGGTTTAACTGGCTTTCAGTTGAGAAAAGAGTAGTTTTTCTTGTTTTTGAATGCCACTTCGTGTTTTTTTAACCTTCATTGCATATTCTCACCAATCTTTATTAACCCTGAGAAAGGTTCATATTCATCTTGTACACAACTTACATATATATCCTCGGATTTTACCGATTTACGATAGAAATCAATCATACCTCGAAAAGAAGGTAACGATACACGAACCATCCCGAGTATCCAAGTCCAACCAACTCCAAGATCTTCGGAAGCTGAATAAAAATGTTTTACCGAATATTGAATTTTTTCGAATAATAAAATGTTTACCGACTAGAACAAAAATAAAAATGCAAATTTGATTTTTTTCGAAGAACCTACCAAAGGGACCGAGTCAACTGCTCCAACAACGATCGAAGATAACCAAACAGCCACAACCGCACCACTTCCATAAAGAATTGTTGCAGGCTTGTTTTCAACACCATCCCACTATAAGAGAAAAGTATTCAATAACTATATACTAGAGCTTGAATTTCAGTCGAATAACTCAAGGATAAATAAACAAAAACTGCCTTTTCTTTTAAGTATGTGGACATTTCATTGGGATCGAGAGGTGTCTCGTCAGATGAAGAAGCCTCGACCACAGGCCGAGACGACTTCACTTCCTCTGTTAGCAATTCATTAGAAACGAGAGGTGTCTCGTTCGATGAGTAAGAGTCGATCACAGGCTGAGCAGACTTAATATCTTCTGTTAACACTTCATTGGCATTGACAGGCGTCTCGTCTGATGAAGAAGACTCGAAAACGGGCCAAGGATACTTTCTATCAGCTGTTAACAGTTCATTGGTATCGAGAGGTGTCTCTTCTGATGAAGAGGCCTTCACCACAGGCCAAGAACACCTTATATTATCTGTTTTAATGAGAAGCCAATCACATCTGATTTCACATTAAAACTACAAAATCATACTAATT